AAAAAGTTAATAACTCATTCAAGAGTCTTTGTGTGCGCTTCTACAATAAAGTCCCAAGCAAAATACAACAATTAGATATCATGCAGTTTATAAATCTACTATTAAAAAAATACTTATTAAAAAGCTTATTATAAGGTAGGTATCCGATTATATAACAGATAGGAACGCTTGGACTTAAGATGGTCCATCAACTGGATCCTAAACTCTTTATTAAATTACTTCTAAACTCATTATCTTGTTTCCATTATTATTAAATGTTTATGTTATCATTATAAGACCATAGTTTTTTTTCTATCTCTTTTTATAATGTATTGATCTGGTAAGGACATGGCTTTTGTGAATGTCATTACTCCTATTAGAGCTGGTGAGTTTCTTGCTCGTTCTTCTTATCAGCCAAAAGACGTCCTGAACTAGTGGTAGGGAAAAAAATGTTGGACGATTCAAAAGTACTTTTAAGAAGTCTATTTGAATAAAGATTATTTTGACTTTGACTTTGCACATTATATAGCTACCCGTAGTTGATAGAATTTGTAAAATTATTCGATGCAAACAAACAAAAAATAAAATCTTTCCTTGTCATAATATAAGTAAAGAAAAGCACAAAGATTTTTCGTGCATAAATCTAACAAGGAGCACAGAGTAAGAAAACTTAGACATTTCATAAATTACTAGATATTGATTGTTATACATATACAAAAAATCTACCCTCGCAGAGAATTAAAACTGATTAAAAACTTATCTGCATTAAAATAACTAAGCAATATGTCTTTACCAAACATATCTATCGTTCTTGTGAAGAGTGCAGAAATTTGGTCTTGGTTGTTATATTTTTTGTGTGTATATCTTTGACAATCAAAAGAAATATATCATACTAGAAGCATCAAAACTACTGTCAAAAAAAAATCTATGAAAAAAATATACTTAGAGCTCATTTTTCTAATAACAAATATGTTAGTTTGCTTAAAACTTCTATTTATTACACTTGTCCAGTATATTACAAAAAAGATCTTACATTCATTTTCAGATCTAAAGTTTTTAATATATTAAAAAAAAAAAACAAATTATAAGACCTCCTTCCAAAAAATAATAGCTTAATTATCAAAAAGAGTTTGAATACTCACATTTAATTAGCTCTGGTTATTATGAAAACACGCGCTTCAATAAAACTGCCTGCTTGCTCCAAAGTCAGGCAGTAACTGGTTAGAATGCCGTACAATCCGTGACGGCTCTTTATTATATAAAACGAGTCTGTGAGATAACATTTATGATGCTATTCATTTAGTGAACTATTTAAATGATCCGGACTCGCTTACTATATAAGAAAATGTAATTATTAATGTAATTTTATTAATGTTATTTAGTTATCGAGGTTCTCAATTCGACTGTATTTTTGGTCTCTTTGTTACGTCATAACTTTTTACTGGGTGGACAGATTTGGATGATTCTTTATTTGAAAGCTAGTTTGTTCTTGATCTGGCAATGGCATCTATGAGAAAACCATATGATTCTGAAATTTGCATTAAGTATGCGGGATGTTTGTTACCACAAAACTCAAAATATCACTAAAATGCATGAAATAAAAAAAGTGAAAATAAACCTTATCTTAAAAGCGGCTATTTTAAAAAAAAATATTTAATTAGCTGTAGAAAAATGTTATCATTTTTATTTTTATAGGTATATTTGTTTAAAAAATCAACTTAAAATCGTAGAAAAATCATCTTCAAGGCAATTCCTAAGTTCATGAAAATCTTTAACATGCTTGAAAATGAGTATTTCTATTACTATTTTGTTATTTATTTAATTTACCATGAATATATTATTAAATGAAAACCTCCGCCTGAATTTAGTAACAGTTTCTACTTTTTTTAGTAAGGTAGTAAAAAAAAACAAATGGAGGTGTGACGACGAAAATATCGATTAAATCAACTAGTAATTGACTCAGATATAATAAATAACAATCTTTCTTTGCTAAGAATTATTATAAAATAACTTTTATTACCAACAACACAATTAATTTAAAATGGACGAAGCCGTAGTCGTTATACCTACGCTTATAGGTGCTTCACATGAATCTGTTGATATTGTTTTAAAATAAATCGTTTCTTATTATATACATATTTAACCAATGCTTTTGGTTTTGTTTGCTGAATTATTAAAATTAAACGAAATTTACAAAATGTCGAATTAATACAAACAATACTATTTCGAAAAGAAAAACAAACCAAAATCTTTGATAAAATATATCAATTAAAAAAAAAACAATTAATTTTAAAAGAATATAAACAGAATAATGAGAAATACGACTACGGCTACGTCTCGTTGGTATGAAGTGAGTCATTTATACAAACAAATTCGTTTCCCTATAATTATTTAGAATCATTTCTTGTGTAATGTTTTTAAGTAAAACTACAGTCACAGATATGTATTATCAATATGGATACGCCTAATTCATCTAAATTCATGGAATTTTTAATGAGTTAATTATTTATGTTTATATTAGGTCCTTACATATGAAATTGGCGTTTTGTCGTACTGGCCAATTTAATCACAAATTTCTCCTCCTTGGTTGGGAGTTCCAAATTCAAATTTATACAGCCATTTACACACACAGAGTAGCTCGGTGGCGTAGTGGATAAGCGCCGCGGCCCGCGATCGTTGTCGTTAAGCAACTTTCGCGAGGGTCGGTCACGGGATGGGTGACCGAAAAATGACTATCTCGAGCTACTCCGTGCTTCGGAAGGCACGTTAAGCCGTTGGTTCCGGCTGCATTTGCAGTCGTTAATACCTTCCAATCCGCATTGGGCCCGCGTGGAGGGTCATGGCCCATCCTCCTTAACCATCCATAAGGAAGGCCTGAGCCCCTGCAGTGGGGACGTAAAAGGGCTGATGATTACACATGTATTTGTCTTTCGTTAGGCGGCATCCATTTGTTATTTATCTTATGTTATTTTTTTTGTGTCGTTCATAACAGTTTTCTCAAATCAGACGTCTATTGTCAGCAATTGCTAACCATGCTGGAAAAACTAGCTGTTCACGACAACGCTAGACCACACACTGCACAACAGACGGCTACCAAATTAGAAGAGCTTCAATTGGAATGTCTAAGTCCTTAACCGTACTCCCTGGACCTTGCACCAACAGATTACCTTTTTTTTTTTCGAAATTTGGAAAACTTCTTGCAAGGGAAAGAATCCGATGGGGCAGTGCAAATCGCCTTCAAAGATTATATTGATTCCTGTACAAATGGTTTTTTTTAGTAAGGGGATCAATGAACTACCTATGAGATGGTAAAAGTGCATAGATAACAATAGTTTATACTTTGAATTAATAAATATATTATATTAAAAAATATTCGACTTTTTGTTCCTCCCATACCAAACGCCCATTTCATATGTAAGGACCTAATATAAATAGAACAGCAGAGCGATTTAAAAAAATCATAACCCGTATTCGAATTCCCTCATGTGTCCGAATCCATGTTATTTAGTGCAGAAATTATATTGTTTCCATTGTTTTGTATAAAAATACAAAACAAGATTGATTGATTTAACGTGTCTCAGATATTCTATTCCTATGTCATTTCGAAACTCACTTCACTTATGCCACGAAACGTTATTACCTATTCAAGGTTGAGCGGATGCCGCTTTTTGAAGTGAATTAAAACACCTGTGAATTCAAATTCGGGTTCGTATGTTTACGGAATCGCAGGTCAGCAGTATATTTATATAAAAATGGACTCAACAGAATTTCTACACTAAGTAACGTGAGTTCGGGTAAACGAGTGAATTCAAATTACGGTTCGGATTTTTACTGTATCGCTGTGCAGGAAACATTTGACTGTTTTTGTTTGCATTGAGTAGGCTCCGAGACTGATACATCTTGAACCACTTTTAAATATAAAAAACATCATTTTACACTTTCCCACTTTATGTCATAAACGCAAAACATATAATTACAAACCAATTTGAAAATATTTATATCGATAAATAAAACATAACATCTAATTCAAGCGCCATCTGTTGACGAAATAACAAATTAATCCGCCAGCCTCGGGTGTCAAGTTACGTTTGAGGAGTGTTATGATATTGATATTATTATATTTAGCACAATATAATAGAAATATAGGTCAAAATTAAATAAATCAGAAAACTAATTTAAAATCCTTTAATAAATGACCAAGTTATAGATTATTTAAAACTGCGTGTTTTCACGGAATGTCCGTGGCCCCTCGAATCCTTTGTGACGTCACAGCACCCAACTCAACATCGCACTACAAATTAAATGGAAGTCTTTGCAAATCACTTATTATTTTCTACTTATTGGGTGCAAAAAAACAAATTATTCTTTCCGTGAAATCTTTATTGCACTTATAAATATGTAGGTATTTAAGAATGAAAAAGACATAAAATTTTAATAATAGCGTCAATTAATTATTTAATATAAAATAAAGTTTATTAAATTAGATTATATAATGCCAATAACCAATATATTGTAGCGTTACATTATTTTTTGTATTTGATACTTATATAAAGTACACTTTATAATATATCTCAAACCACGGTCAAAAATATTTTCTTCTAGTCTCTAAAAGATCCATAAATAATTGTAAGATAATATGTAGAGCCTTCAACATTTATGCGAAACAAAACAGTTATAAAAAGCATGTGTTTTGTTTTAAGAAAAAGAAAATAGATAAGGCTCTCTGAAAGACATTCCTTTGCATTCTAAATGAATGAGACAAGTTTAAAAAGTTCTTTTTTGCATAAAATAACTTTGGATCTACTTTTTATTCCGTATAAAATATCTTGTGATGTTTTAATAATATACAATTAAAAAAGGTTTTCTTTTTTTCAATAAATCAATAATAACATTTCATTAACATAACAATTCTTTAAAAATTCACAATGTATAATTAAAATCCATAAATGCAATAACTTAAACAATAATTTATTGTAAAAAATTAAACATTATTATGTCGCAGTTTAGTTTTAGTTTTTTTTATATTATAGCATTACAAGTAAGTACAATTAATCTCTGTAAAAATGTAAGTAACAAAACAATTTTGTGCCGTGACATTGTATTAAAAAAATAGAAAATTGTATCTTTAGTTCCAGTCTTCGAAATATTGCTTAAATGCGGGCGGTTCGAGTTCTTCAGGCACCTTTGAAACGTGAACCTGTAAAGAAATCAACGCTTATTCAATGCGTACTACTCTTATACTCAAACAACCGGTTTCGGAATTTTTTTAATACTTAAAAAAAAACAAAAGCACTAAAAAAGCACCTCCACTAGATGGCGACTCTAGCAAAAGTTGATTATTGCAGGAAACTAATAGACCAAAGACAGTCATTTCCGTTTCTTCAAACTAACATATTAAAAAACTGAAATTTGCAAAGTTCGAAACTTAGATATCAATACAAATACGAAAAAGTACAAATAGAATACGAGTTGTTTATTGAGTTTTGAAATCCAATTTACTTTTAAACATGAAAGAAAACTGGAAGGGTTGTCATGGAGAAATCAAGAATGTACCGTAGCGACATCTAGTTTGATTTCGGGAACTAATTTTTTTTTTTATACTTCATCATTCAGAAACTGGGTCAGTGTAACCATATGTTTTGAATATGTATTTTAAAATTCATGCCCTGGTACACAGATAATCTTCATGGATGTGATTCTAACAAAATTATTATAATATATTTGACTTTTTAATTGATAAATTATATTATACAACGAATGACTTCTTTAAAGATAAAAAAGTATGACATATAATCGTAAATTTGTATTTCTAGGTTATATTTTCATTGGCATTGACATTATGATACTTATAATTGACATTTATTTTTTTTTAATATCAATTTTATTCAATTTTAGTGACAATTTGTATTTTATTTTTTGGAATTATTTTGACATTTTTATAAAACAGGCCATCAGCTGTCATGTTGATTTGTGCAGCCCCCTAATTGTCTAATTTTAAATCTATTGCAATCGCTTTCAGTTTGAAAGGTGTTGCACAACCATTGCTGCATAATACAAATACTTTTTTTCAACTGTCTTCAGAAACAAGCAATGGTTGTGCAACATCTTTCAAACTGAAAGCGATTGCAATAGATTTAAAATTAGACAATTAGGGGGCGGGTTATACTCACCCATGGTGGTAAATTGTGTGCCTTCAAGTACTGTTGGGCTTTGTTCATAGCTTCAGCTTTTTCCTGTTAACAAAATACAATATAAAGTATTTAGAATCTAGTACCAGGGGTGTGACTTTTTTTATTATTTACATATTTAATCAATGCTTTTACTTGTTTTTGTTTGCTGAATTATTAAAGTTAAACGAAATTTACAAAATGTCGAAATGATAAAAATAATGCTATTTCGAAAAGAAAAACAAACCAAAATGTTTGATAAAATATATTAATAAAAAAAAACAACTAAAAGCATTGATTAAATATGTAAATAATAAAAAATGATTAATTCTAAAACAATATCAACAGATTCATGTGTAAAACCTATAAAGCGTAGGTTATAGCTACGACTACGGCTACGTCCATGAGTTAGGCGGTCGCATCCCTGGATATCTATGTGATATTATCTAAAATTACCTATGGAAACAATAAACTTATTGAGCATTGAATACCTTTACTTTGTATCTTTTAATATAATTTATTAATGGCTTCTGAAACCCACTACTAGTGCAGAATCATGTCTAAAATTCACCTCAAAATCAACAACTGAATCTAGTGATGTGACATATCTCAAAATTAACAAACGAGTCTAGTGATGTGACATATCCCGATTTTTTTTATTAAAATAATGCCAGGAAAATGATTATGGGTTGTATTATAATTTTTAAACTAGCTTCACAATGATTTCGAGTTTTGACAGCTTCTATAACCTACATTATTTACAAACTACGTACTTCCCTGGCCTCTACATGAAAATATGCTTAGTTATTATTTTATTCTAAGCAAAAACTTATTTAAATTATCACTAATGGTGGATAGAGACGACCTTCTTAAAAATGTGACTTGTCAATCAATGTGTGGAAAGTAGTGCTTTCATGAAAATTGGGGCCCGTATATTGTTACTGAACCAATTTTAAAGAAGTTTGGTACACATAAAGAGTAGAAATTGGAAAAAAATATATGATTTTATATCGCGAAAAATAAGCTCAAAGGGGATGAAAGAAGGGATATAAAGGATTATCAATTACCTTCTCGTTAGAGTTCCTTCCCACCCAGACGTAAATGCCACTGCTGCCGGTGTCTAATATGTAGCATTCCTATAAAAGAATAATTATATAGTTCTACAGACCAAACCCATTCATGTCTCACCTTGTTTGCTACATATTAAGTTTATTCAACAAACCTATCATGATACTAGTACATATTTTGGGAATTGGTTACTTAACAGTAATATTTTTGCCCGACTGCGCGACGCAAGGGAGGGTAATGTGTTTATCATTTTATGTATGTATGTTTGTTTCTATGTGGCGTTCTAGAGACCAAATGCGTAGGCCGATTTTGATGATTCTTACGTCAATCGATTCGTCTTAACCTTGCGAGTGTCACTAAAGACATGACAGTACTCAAAATTCATCACAGCGACAACCAGACGCCATATTGTCAAAATGAAAAAAACCGCCATATTGTTAAAGTAAAAATAAATAATTTAAAGAAAAACAAAAACGCGACTGCGTAAATACCAATTTTAAAAAAATACATGAAAAAATTAACTTAAATAAAAACTAAAATGAAAGAAACAAGCCCAGTAGTTTAGAATTCTGTTAAGTAATACTAAATAACTACACGATTGAAATAGTTTTATAATCGATACACACATAAAACGTTAATTAATTTTATCACGTATTTTTTAAAATTGGTTTTTACGCAGTCGGGATTTTTGTTTTTCTTTAATTGTATATATTTTTATTTTGCAAAATTAATTTACGATTTATAATCTGAAGATTAAAAGAACTGAAATGTGACGTCACATTTCTATAAACTAAACGTCAACGTCTTTGTTGCGAAAGTAAGCAGCAAGTCAACAATCCCACAAATGTTTACGTCATAATAGCATCTCAATAGAATCTCAATTACTTGCGTTTTGAAATTGTACTATCCATCCCTTGTCAAAAGCATACATGAAATGTGCATTTTTATAAAGACGCATCCAGAATTATTTAATTCATTGTATGACATTCCACGTGTATATAGTTGCAGACGCCTGTAAGGGATAGAAATGATATCCACAAGGTTCTGTTAATCAAGATTTTCAAAAGTAACACTTTAAACTTCATAAATACAAAAAAAAAAGAAATAATAAAAAGTTGTTTGGTATACGGATCTCCAATAAATCGGTCGAATTGCATCGCGCTCCATTGGTACGTACGTACATGCAATTTAAATGAGTAAATAGCCTTAGAGGGAAAAATATCGACAACTACTGGCAACACTAATTGTCTATTTTCACTACGGGTATCCCTATCTGTCAGTCAGCTGTCACAGAACCGGTGGCACGTGGACCACCCTCACTTTATACTCACTTTGGTGTTGAATTGTTGTTTATTAAAGGGACGAGGTAGTTTCGTGATCTTCATGTTGCCTGTGCTGTCAGAGATTTCGCTCAAACTTACTTCTTGTGCGTCTCTGCGTTCGAATTCCTGGGGAAAAATAGATTATGATAGCCTTAGTGTTGTTGCGATATCGATAGCTTACTTTCACAAAGTATCGAAAAAAAAAATTTTGTTTATTAACATTATTGGTTGTTAAATATATATTTTTTTTTATCTATATGGTTAAGGTAAACGTATACTGGCAATGTGGGTATATTGTAATATGTATAACTATTTCTTAATTCATATCTGTTTGAATTAAAACTGGGAGAAAAAAAGCAGCCTGCAACGGATGGCCCGTTAAGTCCTCGGTCCCGGCTGCATCTGTCGTTAGCGCCCACCATTCCTCACTGGGCCGATAATAATACGTGTTCTATCATTAAATATATAATTAAAAGGCTGATGGTGTAGTGTGTTCAATGTAGTATTCGAAGGGTAATAGACTTCATTTTACATGAGTGGTACATAATAGGGATGCATCGATACACATTTTGGTCGATACGATACCGATATAGGAAATACTTATTATAAATATTTTAAAGCAGTGTCCTCCCCTTATCTCCAAATTTGCTGTGCCCGACGGGGTCACATAATGATACTTTTGTTTTTTTTTATAAATATCCTAATACTACATTATGGAATGCAACTAATAAATAAATACATATAAATAAGTATTTCGATTAGTATTGAGTAGCTCGGTGGCGTAGTGGATAAGCGCCGCGGCCCGCGATCGTTATCGTTAAGCAACTTTCGCAAGGGTAGGTCACGGGATGGATAACCAAAAAATTATTATCTCGAGCTACTCCGTGCTTCGGAAGGCACGTTAAGTTGTTGGTCTCGGCTGCATTTGCAGTCGTTAATACCCTCCAGATCCGCATTGGGCCAGCGTGGAGGGTGATGGCCCATCCTCCTTAACCATCTGTAAGGAAGGCCTGAGCCCCTGCAGTGGGGACGTAAAAGGGCTGGTGATGATGAAGATGAAATAAGTATTGCCAATACGATACCGATACGGTCAGCGAAGATTCATAGAAGGCTCGAAAGGTATAAAAACTAAAGAAAACATATCGCAATCCCTAATAAATGAAAGTTATCACCAGAGGTCGGAATTAGGTAGAGTTATTTATGTACTTGCATCGAAATGTTGATATTAATGTGGACCTTCCCGGAATTTCTAATGCAAAATCTTGGACATCTTTAGACATCCGATGTCATTGATGTAAGTTTGGCAACGTCGTGCGTGCAGTAGTTTAAATTGTGTAAAAGTAAATAACTTTTTATTTAGAAAATCAGGGGATTTTTTCTGCTCTTTAAAATTAATCTCGGGATTTGAGGCATATCCACTTTATTCTTTCGCTGTATGAAATCAGTGTAAGTACATGAATAACTCTACCACTCTACTACTCTAATTCCGACCACTGGTTATCACACACCAAAAGCAACTAGTGAAATGGGCTATGTATCGGTGTATCGGCAAATTAATATTGCCGATTCCCATCCCAAAATGATACTTGATAATATTGAAAATATATCAAAATCGTGGTCATCCTATAACATAATAGCGTAATAATACATATTTACTTTATTTTAAACGAAATAATGTATAATTTTTGTAGATTACACAAAATAAAATCAAATATTTTTAATTTATCGGAGACAAAAACGCCTTGTAAGTGATTGTAACTCCGATGACGTCACACGCTAGTAAATATGGCTTCCCGTTGACGATTTTAGTTTGATAAGATTTGTTTTAATACTAACTTGTGACGTCATGCGCGGCGTAATGGCATACAGCGTTTTCTGCGCGGTTTCGGAAATTTAACTTTTACTTTCATTTTTATTGATAAATACAGTAAATTTCTCAGTGAAATATGAATGAAATGTGCTTATTATATAACAAAGAATAATTTAAAACTATTTTTTTAAATTAGTCATTTACCCTATATCGCCGATATATTAGTATCAGATGCATCCGTTGTATTTAACAAACAAGTAATCATAACTGCTGAATTGTACGTGTATATGTGTCTGTATAATATTACAAAGAGTAAAGATTTGATTGTTTGTTTGTAACGACTAAGCTCCGAAACTACTGAACTCGATTTTAAAAATTCTTTTACATACGGGAAACTACATCATATGCGGTGAAAATAGGCCCAAAAAACAGCAAATAAAGGTACAAAAATGGGAGTGGAAGTTTGTATGGGGAATTAAGGAATTGGGATTTTACTTGAGAACCATAAAATCGATATCGATATATCGGCTTTGCGAAGTGATATATCGATATTGACTGTAAGCGATATATATCGAATTCCATATATCGATATTTTAATGAAACTTGCATCTCTAATCTAAATACATATATAAATATATTAATTAAAACTGAATATTACATAAATACTAATTATACATTAATAAATACCTATCAACATACATATATGTCGCATCATCTTTACGAAGATCGTTTGCTTTAGTTTCTTTTATTGCTAGTTACTCAATTGTAGAGAGAGCGTGATCATCGATACTTTTAATTTTATTAGAATGGTGACACTGACTTTGACAGTTCGTTAACGAAAAGCAAGTTGCCGCCATTTTTGGCACACATTCTGTTTCCGATCGCCGAGGAGTAAAGACATCCGACGACATCACGCTCATCTCGTTACATTTTCGTATGCAAAGTGATAAAATGGAACAAATCCACGTTGGTACACACGCCTGCAGTGTTATTTTAAAGATAGTCCTCCGATATGGACGATCTATTTGGGCTTCGTAATAGCCCCTTCTGACTACCCGTCGACATATATATAAATAAATAAATAACACACAGAACGGAACGATATATTACAGTCCAAGATGGTGCTCACGCATCAATTTCTTGAATATCAGTCTTCTCTGAGTATTTCTAATGAAAAATGGAAGAGCATTCTAAAGACGAAGCGAGGGTAAAGGGTTTGAAGAATAAGGCTGCTACAAGAGCGAAGATGACGTCGATATACAACGTGTCCCAAAATTCAACGATAAGCGGGCGCCAAGAGGTAGACCTGCTCATGTGTACTTATGGAAAAATAAGAAAAAAATTATATCTTATTAATCTTTTTTATTATAAAATAAAATTCGAAAATTTTCGAAAGAGTTGTAGCGAATAGTAGTGCTACTTAGGTATCCGATACCAAAAAAAGATTGAACATAATTGAGAAGTTGTGGTCGTGGTAGTTGAAAATATCATAAAAGGTGTAAATTTTCGAAGATTTTCGAATTTAATTTTATAATAAAAAAGATAAGATATATTTTTTTTCTTATTTTTCCATAAGTACACATGAGCAAGGGTATCTCTTGGCGCCCGCTTATCGTTGAATTTTGGGACACGTTGTATACTTTACCTCATCGTCTTCAGAGACTTCAGTTACCGAGTCCATGTCACCAGACCCTAGGGCTTTGAAGAAATTCTCAACATCACCCTCTCTTGCGTATGGATCTGGAATAATAGAACAAAACATATTTAATACAATATTAAAAATTTCTATTACACTACCGATGAACTGTGAATAGTGAAGTTTTTGTATTCAGGTACACGTGAGATGTAAAAGTCAGGGGTGCGACCGCCTAACTCATGGACGTAGCCGAAGTCGTAGCTATACCCTACGCTTTATAGGTTTTACACGTGAATCTGTTGATGTTGTTTTAAAATTAATTGTTTTTTTTTAAATTAATATATTTTATCAAACATTTTGGTTTGTTTTTCCTTTCGAAATAGCATTGTTTGTATCAATTCGACATTTTGTAAATTTCGTTTAACTTTAATAATTCAGCAAACAAAAACAACTAAAAGCATTGATTAAATATGTAAATAATAAAAAATGATTAATTCTAAAACAACATCAACAGACTCATGTGTAAAACCTATAAAGCGTAGGTTATAGCTACGACTACGGCTACGTCCATGAGTTAGGCGGTCGCACCACAGGACCGGATCTAGGGAGATACATACACAGTATAGGCCACAATAGAAGGAATAGGTTTTTAGAGTCCTTAAATGAAATAAAATAAAAAATTAGGTAATATAAAATATGACGTCATGGAGCGGGAGCCCCTCCCTCCCGCAACGCAACCAAGTTTCTGCCCCGATAAGTCCCGAAGTAAGTCATCACCATCACCAGCCCTTTTACGTCCCCACTGCAGGGGCTCAGGCCTTCCTTATGGATGGTTTAGGAGGATGGGCCATGACCCTTCCACGCTGGCCCAATGCGGATTGGAGCGTATTAACGACTGCAAACGCAGCCGGGACCAACGGCTTAACGTGCCTTCCGAAGCACGGAGTAGCTCGAGATAATAATTTTTCGGTCACCCATCCCGTGACCGACCCTTGCGAAAGTTGCTTAACGACTACGATCGCGGGCCGCGGCGCTAATCCACTACGCCACCGAGCTACTCGAAGTCAGTCATTGATAATAAAAACAAAACGACTACAATGGCTTTTAAAACACGGACGGAAGGGAGAGGGAAAGGTAGCTGCCCTATTTTAATTAAATCATTCATTATGGATGGTCTATGTCCGGGGAGCTAGACGGTGTAAAAAAAAAGCTGCAATTAATAGGGATGATGACTAATTTTTGTTTGTTTGTCCGTCAGGTAGAGTGTTAAAAAATATTAAACACGTATTTTTTTATTTTTTTCGTAATCATAAAATTACGGCGTTACATTGAGTTGAAATTTCGCATGACGTCACGTTAGGGTACGTTTTCTACTCAACTGTGACGTAGCGAGCCCCCACTCCTGAACTTTAATGCCTGTTATCTAAGCTATTTCTTGTTAAATTGAAGTAAAAAAAAATACGTATCTAATATTTTTCTATTATCTGACTGACGGACTAAATAGAATTGCATTTTGACGTGGATACGTCTATGTTTTCGTTCTACAGGGGGGTCATTCTGTGAGCAGGAGTATATGCACTAACGCCATCTATTGGCGTATAAGTGAACTATGCTTGCTCTGCAGGGGGAGGGGCATTCTGTCAGCAGGAGTATATGCACTAACGCCATCTGTTGGCGCTAGTGAATACTTTTTTCATTCAACAAATGAACGCAACGAATATTTATTTATTTAGTGTTTAGTGTCTTCAATTTGTTTATTTATTTTTATTTACTTAATTCTTTATATAAGTTTATTTTTACAAAGAAACAAATATGGGTAGAACAAATAAATGTAGGGTGCTTTGTTAAAAGCAAAAACGCACTGCAAAAGTAAATGGTATCGAAAATCATAAAAATCTCTTTCAACCGAATTTTATCGAATCCCATCTTAGTGTATCTGGAACTGGTGAATTTTTTTTATCAATTACTCATATATCCATTCATACATAGACGTATCCACGCATAAAATATGGCTGTATCAATGATGCAGCCAACCAGGGTTTTTTTTTTACCCAGTCGTCAAGCCTATTGCAATGAAACTAGTTTTATAAAACTAATCTGGCATGTATGCATCCAGCTTTAAATACTGACCAATGATTTCCACTTCCCCTCTTCCGTTATGGTCCTGATCATTGATCTGGTTCGCCACAGTGATAGCCTTCAACTTCTCAACGCCCTTCGCTTTCTCGCCGACGAACACGAAGATGTTATGGCCAACGTCCAGCACGAAGCAATCCCCTTTGTTCAACGAGGCCGCAGAGGGCTCCACCTGGATATGTTGATAATAAGAGAAGTGGGGCGTATGATAAGTAGCTTGGTGACGTAAGTAACTCGGTGGCGTAGTGGATGAACCCGCAATCGTTGTTGTTAAGCAATTTTCACAAAGGTCGGTCACGGGATGGGTGACCAAAAAATTTTATCTCCAGCGCGGTTGTAACAAAGCAAGAGTACGAGACGCTACAATGAAGAAGTATTAAAAAAAAACATTAGTTCCCGAAATCGAACTAGATGTCGTTAAGGTACTTTCTTGATTTTTCCATGACAACCTTCCGGTTTTCTTTCATTTATAAAAGTAAACTCAATAAACAACTCATATTCTATTTGTATTGATATCTAAGTTTCGAACTTCGCAAATTTCAGTTTTTTTATTGTTAGTTAAAAGGAACGGAAATCGTTAGGTGGAGGTGCTTTTTTGCGCTTTCTTTTTTTAAATACTTCCTGATTACAATGTGGAGCACTCGCGATTGCGTTCAAGTGTAATTCCGCCATATTTAAAATTGGGAAATTAGTTGCGTTATTGCCTGACATAAAAGTACTCTAGACGTTAATACACCAAAAATACTTTTCTGAAAACTTTGTCAAAGTGCAAAACTCAATTGTTTAGACTGTTAATATACCTTAAAACCTTTCTCGATCTCGAGATAATGGCTCACAATATGTACAGGTCAAACTGAGAACCTCCTTTTTCAAATCAGTTAATAATTATGCAACAAAACTAATGCAAATAGCTTAGTAATGTGTAAATTTGGCTTTAACACGTGGGCTTAAAAACAATATTTGGATCGAGCGTTAGATAATTAGAAATTAGAAATATGTGCATATACTAAAACACTAATGGACTGTTGAAAGTTGTATATAGGTAATTATATGAAGTATCGACGAGACTTAGTTAGCGCGATGCAGGAATTGCAGAACCGTATAAACAATTGATTAAATACCTGTCGAACACGAACATGCCTCTTGCCTTTAATTTGGAAGAGCCTCTTCTCCGAGCCAGGGTTGATGGTCACGTGGTTGAACCCTGACGCGTGACCACCGTCCATATACCTGATAGCTAGAAGAATACGGAATATATTAAAATAATGTAGCTTTAACTAAACAAGTTAGGTATATTGATCTATCATGACATGGTTTTTGTAAATGTCATTACTCCTATTAGAGCTGGTGAGTTTCTTGCTCGTTCTTCTTATCAGCCAAAAGACGTCCTGAACGAGTGGTAGGGAAAAAATGTTGGACGATTCAAAAGTACTTTTAAGAAGTCTATTTTAATAAAGATTATTTTGACTTTGACTTTGACACCCTTACGGTCAGTTGCACGAACATCCATTATGGTTTAATGACGCCTTTAAGCTCTAATGAATGTCAAATTTGTATGGGTAATGTGGCTTTAAACTAACGAAAATTTTAATGGACGATTGTGCAACTGGCTGTTAATGTAGTAGTGTTCGACTCGTTTTTGTTAACCTATTGTCTGTTTTTATATTTATATAGTCTGAACTCAAGCTAACCTTCGCCATTCGGCCTAGTTAGAAAAACAAAAGGAACCATAGACAGATTTTTTTTATCTATGACTTGTCAACAAACTTACCAGGTTCGAAATATCCGAGGAACTGCTTCGATTCATACCCTTGAGTTTCCCTGTGTTGTATCGCCGCGCCATTAAATTTATTGTCGTCCAGATTGACAGACAAGATGGCCGCCGTGCCAGCTTCATCCTGCGATGTCTTGGAGCCGAGCCAAAAGTGTATATCCCAGGTTAGCTTATTAGCTTCACCCTCCGTCTAAAATGCAATAAAATAAAGGATATAAAGAAAAAAAAAACATGTTTGTTGTTGTTGTTTGTTGTATAAAACCTTCTTAAATATTGTTTTGTATTTGTTTTCAATAAATTACTTCTCTCGACTATAAATATCAATGTTACACGCGTTTTATTTAAAAAATATTTGTTTATATTATGACTAATATACACAAATATTTTTATCCAATAGACAAGACATGAAATAAGAACTGTCCATAACTAATAATAATAGTATTATTTCTTAAATCATTCAAATTCTTGTTTATTTGTAAAAATATTTACTTAAGTAATAACTTTTACTCGACTATAGATACTATAAGAGATAGAGGTCCTCCGTAGCCGAGTTCGCACGCCGGTTTCAAGGGGTTGCCATCTCTGAGGTCCTCGGTTCGATTCCCGGTCGGGTCAATATAGAAAATTAACTTTTCTATATTGTCTCGGGTCTGTGTGTTGTGTTACCTTCGTTGTCTCAGATACCATAATGCGGAAGCTTTAGCTATTTCTCTTGAATCTGAGAAATGTAGTTGTCTAATATATATTTATTTTATTTACTTCTATAGGTTTATTTAATAAAGAGAAGATGGCGTGTACAAGTTATATTTAATAAAGCTTGTACACGCCATCTTATCTAAATAAGAGAGTAACTGAGTAGATTCACTTACTCCTAAAAATAACTAGTGTAACTAGGGTTGCCAATATTTCTCAGCTAAATATAGAATTCATTTAAATATAGTCCACTTCAAAAACTATATAGTACTTACATACCTATGAAATTAGAACCGAACAGAACATTAACTAAAATGCGTTAGGATATAAATGCTATGAAATTATTTCTTATTCAAATAAGCTTATCGAAAGCACTCTTAAATCGTTCAATTTTTTCTACTTTTAGATCAGTATGTCTTTTCGTGAAGAAGAGAAAGAAACTTTCTTTCTCTCTATAAAAATAATTAAAGACAGCTGTCGCATTAATCAAAATTTAGCGTCTTCATAGACGAAGTATTTATTAGATTTGTTGAAAATATACTACTATATCGCTCACTGAATAGTACAGTGGCACAACTCAAAAACCATATTTCGAGAAACGCTCTCCGAAGTTATGAAAATCTAATATATTTATAATTATGAAAATCATTTTTTTTAGCATAACAGTTAAATCGTTTGTATTATATTATTACTGTTAAGTTTTTTTATTTTTTCTTTAAATTATCTATGGGATGCCACCACAATGTTGTGGCGTTTTCTCAAATAATGGTTTCTGAGTTGTGCCACTGTAGTATTCAATAAGCGATATATAGTACAAAAATATAGTACGGTTGGCAACCCTAATTGTTACTCAATCAGAATGTCAGTTGGACGGAACATTAACGCAATCCTAGCATATGTTTTATATCACTTCGCATTCGCAAGTAATACTAATCCAATAAAAACTACTCTTTCATGATGGTAAGTAAATATTTATGAGTTGCAAATGTTTGATATCATACATTTTAGCAAAGCATAATATTTAAACAAAGACATTATACACTATAGTGAGAATATGAGTAAAAAAAGTCTTTATTAAAATAAACTCTTGAATAGTCTTACTTTTTTTATATAGCACCCGTGATTCAAAAAGCAGAGCCATAGTTCATATTCTTTTATAATGTTCTTCTTTCATTATTTTTATATTTCATCATATATATTTTAGTTTATAAAATAGCTCTGTTTAATATTAAATTTGTGTTTTGTTTTTTATCAGTATCAGTCGGTTTTCTAACTTTAGCAATAGGGTACGGCATCTAAACTTATCTAAGCGAAGTTTTTGGGGCATATTTTGTTTAATTTTATTATTTACATGTGTTTTAATCGATAAAACACTACATAGTATAAAACAAAGTCGCTTCCTCTGTCCTTATATCTTTATGTATGCTTAACTCTTTAAAACTACGCAACCGATTTTGATGAGGTTTTTTTTCATAGATAGGGTGATTCACAAGGAATGTTTTTACTTACAATACCACGCGGACTACAAGACCACGCGAGCGAAGCCGCTGGTGGAAAGCTATTTTGAGAGAAACGACTAAAGCTGCTGTCAAACCCATATTCACATTCTTCAATGATTAAACCAGATTAACGTATTTTATTAATTTATTCTATCTATCTATACACAATGTAGTATATGAATGTCTTAGGGGGCGTACATAAATTACGTGAGATGTTTAAGGGGGGGAGGGGGTCGAGTCAAATCTCATCTAATCTTACGTTGGAGAGATGGGGGTCTCGGCAAATATCACGCAATTTTTTTTCTGATTGAAACAAAAAAAAACTATTTTGTTCCATTTAATCTAGATTGTACATGCTTAAGATTTCATCTTAAGCGTAATCGTATACGATTTAGAATCATTCACTTAATCGTTCGAAATAAAATAATTTAATTCTTCCTCTTCTTTTATTCTTTGGTTTTCATTTATATACTTTTACTTAAATTTGGCTTCCATAAAAATAATCTATGACTGAATTTGAAAATTCCCACATTTTGAAAAACTCATGTGAAATTGGGGGATGGGGGAGGGGGTTGAATAAAATCTCACGACATCTCACCAGGGGGGGAGGGAGGGACAAAAACTTAAAAAAAACACCTCACGTAATTTATGGACGCCCCCTTACGATAATGATAGGATCATAATGGACCCCGGCAGTCATTAAGAGTGTAATGGAGTATTGTCTACATTATGTTTTCGTTTTAATTAAAGAGATTTACAGCCAGTTGCACAAACGTCTATTAAAATTTTCATAAGTTTAAAGCGACATTACCCATACAAATTTGACATTCATTAGAGCTTAAAGGCGTCATTAAACCTTAATGGACGTTTGTGCAACTGATCAATAGTATATGTAGATACAAAAATATAATATATAACCCATAAATAAATATCAAATTCATGTAAAGAACATACTTATGAGTAAAGGCTATAATAAAGTTGATGATTATTTTAAGGACCGCAATGCATGGAATTAATAGCCTTCGCTTTGTTCTATAACGACTAATTATATGTACAACCTGTGACCTACAGACTTTGAAAGTTGTATTTATTGTTGTGATAATACATATTATTTTGGTAATGACATGATTTATGTATATGTCATTACATTACTTATGATAAAGAGCTGGTAAGTTTCTTTCGCTTGTTCTTCTTGTCAGCTAAAAGACGTCCTGAACAAGTGGTAGGGGAAAAAAAAATGTTTGGGCGATTCAAAAGTGCTTGTAATAAGCCTACTTAAATAAAGATATTTTTATTTCATTTCAATAGATTTATATGTGTTTTCGATTAACTAACGTTATTTTAACACCCGTATCTATAGTCGAGTAAAAGTAATTATTTGAAAATATTTGCATTTTTTAACAAATAAACAAGAATTTGCATGAAGAAATAATTGTTAGAGCAGCTCGGTGGCGTAGTGGATAATGCTTAACAATAGTACCCGTCTATTGTTAAGCAACTTTGGCAAGGGTCGGTCACGGGATGGGTGCCAAAAAATATTATCTCTAGCTATTCTATGCTTCATTTGCAGTCGTTAATACCCTCCAATCTGCATTGGGTTAACGTAGAGGGTCATGGCCCATCCTCCTTAATCATCCATAAGGAAGGCCTGACCCCCTGCAGTGCAAGAAAATGCCTCATAACGTGATGAAGAACGGTTAGTTAGAATACATTATTAGCTATAAACAGTTTTTATTTCATTAAAATTCTCTTTGATTGGATAAAAATATTTATAGGTTTAAAGTCATTTATTTTTCAAACATTATAAAGTTCCTTTACAATAAGATTTATAATATTACTAAAGCCATCATCTCTCGGTCGTATTACCGAGTGGTAAGTGTAAGTTTTACGCTAACGCCTTCACTAGTGAGCTCGTTAAGAATTTGTTTGGAGATTTGTAGTACTTGCTAGTTACCGCTAGGGGCGCTGTACCGGATTCCATACTGAGCGCTTAGTGTAAGGTTTTTTGACGTTTACGTTCACTGTCGATCGTGAGCGCGTTAAGATTTTAGTATGGAATTCGGCACAGCGCCCCTAGCGGTAACTATCAAGAACTACAAATCTCCATACAAATTCTTAACGAGCTCACTAGTGAACGCGTTAGCGTAAAACTTACACTTACCACTCTGAAATCTTAACACGCTCACGATCGACAGTGAATGTAAACGTCAAAAAAACTTACACTAAGCGCTCAGTATACAATAAAAATAAAGCGTTATAAGGGTTATAATGTGCACGTTCTCTTAATTTATATTTGAATGAGTTGATATGAATACATTATTTTATGTTGTTAGTTAATTTATTGTAATATTAAATACCTTAAAAAAATATTATTTTCTTTTCGTAATTTGTCCGTGTCTTAGATAAATATAGTTTATGTTTATTTTAAGTTATGTGTGTTCTTTAAATTAAGCTGTATATCTGATCGAAAAGAATTATCAGTAATTTTTCTTATAAGAACACGAGTAGAATATATATGTCGCAGCCAAGTGGTATAATCTGCCGACCAATTGGGCGACTAGCCCTTTAATTGAATGGCGCTATTTAATTTCATTGAAGGACTAGCCGCCTAATTGGTCGGCTGATTATACCAATTGGCTGCGACATATCGTCTATGAAGAGTCAATAAATAATAACTGCAAAAATGCAACGAAACGAAAGGAGACGAAAAAAACATTTCAAATCTATTATATTGGTTTTTTTCAGTACATGGCAATTATTGTTTATCTTACAAAAAGATAAGAAACGAACCCAAAATCTTTGTCACTATTGTGTAGTAATCTATTTTACAACGAATAATTCAATAAAACAAACATTGACAAAATATCCGTTATTATTTATTGACTCTTCATGGGCGATATATATATAACTGCCGTATATCTAGTAGTTTAGTTTTTTTTTTATATATATATAATTCTTTAGTCGACATTAAGTAATTGTAACGGTGTAAGACTGTTATTATTTTATATTTGCTTAAGTTATGCCATTTTCTCGAGAAATTACGTCTCTCGACTATAGATACAAGCGTGAAGGCCCGTTTCATCAATTGCTGATAAAGTTTCAGAAAGTTATCTTACATTTAATGCTATTTGATAATTGAAAGTCAATAATATTACCCGTAAGATAGTTCTATCTGAGACTTGTGAAACAAAAATTTGCAATTTATCTTGCAGATAAGTTTCCAATAGGCTATTAGGGAACTTATCAAGTGGTGAAACTGGCCCCAAGGTTGGTGTTTAAATATGTTTGAGAGCTTACCTTAAGAACTATATACGAATCCCCTGTATAAAAGTTCCCATACTGGTTACGAGGAACTGCCTTCGGCTCGAAGTCCTACAAACAAAATAATAGATATATAAATAATTCCATATACTAAGGGCAAATTACATATACTATAAAACGACTTTAGATGCATGCATTGTGAAACTAGAGCGACAGCCATAACGTAACGAAATCGTCAAAAACCTTAATCCTTCTAAAGCACCTGGTTTGGATAATATTAAAGTGTCAGATGTGAAAATGGTAGGTAAATGCAATGAATGTATTTCAGTTGTCATAGCAAGCCTTGTAAACAGTTGCGTAAAGCAGGGTAGGTACCAAAACAAGTTAAATAGTATATTTCATTACAAGTGCGGAAAGGCTGTCATTGCAACGAGTTCCGATAAATGTCTACCGGAGCTTAGGCCCAGCCGAAGGCGAGGGTTGACAGTCGGAACGAGTTGCAATGACGGTTCCGCACGTGTACTTAACGACTATTTTTAAAGCAGTTGCGAAAAAATGAAGCAAATAAATAAAATAATAAAAGCATAATAAATTCAACTAACTAATCATTTGTTTTTTATAAAAGTTATATTTCACATATACCTACATTGAAATTGGTACAATTTTTTATACTAACTGGGGAAGTTTTAGGTTGCATATTTACTGTTTGAGACAAACTATTATAAATTTTGTATGATTGTTCATGTATATTTGTCATACAATGGCGTTTGCTAGTTGATGGAACTGGATCTGATGAATTACAATTATCAACGTCGGTAGATGGACGAACCTTCTCTTCAACGTATGAAGGAGACGGACAGGACTTTAAATTAATAGATTGTGTGATTTTTTTCCCAGTTTCTAGTTTGTTGTTTAATGAATCACCAATATAGCTTTTCGTAACAAACACGAAACAAACACATTTTGTGTAACAAACAACTAAACTCGCAAAGAAAATTTCTGGAAAATGGCGCCATTTTTTATTCACCCATCCTGGTAGGCAAAGGGAACTACGCCCATACATACATAGTTTTCAGTAGATTTTTTTATTGATATGAAATGAAAATGAAATTAATTAATGAGATAAAATGAAATTAATTAATGAGATAATATGAAATTAAACCTAACCTCACTAATTAAATCAAATCATTAAATTTGATATCGAAACAAATTAGTAGTTTTTTTTAGAAATAAACCTACGCTACGTATTTACATGAATCATAAAAACTTCTTTGATTTTTTTTTAGTAAAAACTTCATGGTTGGTTTTTCTTACCAATAAACATTATTTCGACAGTTGGGAAAGAGAACGCACAAGTCCGGGTAAGGTGAAAAAAAAAGCACGAGTGTGTAATAGCCCAAGGGCTCTATTTTTGAATCATTCGTCTCGCGTCGAGCGCTCGTTTTCTACTATCACTCGCATACAACGTTCGCTAAGCGACGAGTGGTTCATACCATTCGTTGCAGTCGAGCGATTTAGAAATGGCGAATTTGTTAAGTCGAACGAAAATCAGTAGAAAACGAGCGCTCGACGCGAGACGAATGATTCAAAAATAGAGCCCCTGATCCCAAACGCTATAGATACGTCCCTGTAATACGCCACTTTTTGAGCAACTGTATTAAAAAAGAGGTTGTGTCCGACCTATTTTTAAAAAAGGTAGCAGAAGTGATTATAATAATTATAGTCCTGTAACTCTGCTATCCGCAATAGATAAAATAGTGGAAAAAATATATTGGTGAACAAATATACAGTTTCTATAAAACAAATGAGGTGATTTTTCCTAAGCAATTAGGTGTTCAGAAAGGCAAGGGCATTTACCTCGGTGGCGTAGTGGATAAGCACCGCAATCATTGTTGTTAAGCAACTTTCGCTATGGTCGATCACAGGATGGGTGACCAAAAAAAAAAAATTATCTCGAGCTACTCCGTGCTTCGGAAGGCACGTTAAGCCGTTGGTCCCGGCTGCATTTGCAGTCGTTAATACCCTCCAATCCGCATTGGGCCAGCGTGGAGGGTCATGGCCCATCCTCCTTAGCCATCCATAAGGAAGGCCTGAGCCCCTGCAGTGGGGACGTAAAAAGGGCTGATGTTGATGATGATGATGAAGGGCACTACGGATCTTCTTAGAGAATGCCGTATAAGGGGACCATTATTAGCTTTATGTGAAAACTAGCTTTTGCCCGCGACTTCGTCCGCGTGGTAAAGTTACTTTGAGCAGTATTTCTAACGAATATTTATTAATTATATCATGTTAATTATATCTTAGGGAATGCCTACGTCATAGTAGCTTTATGCGTGCAAAGTCTCAGCCCGATCGGTTTAAAATTGTCAAAGTTTCATACAAATTTTCATCCCCTATTTTATCTCCTTGGGGGTAGAAATCCTTTTTTGGCGGATGCCTACGTCATAGCATCTACCTGTATGCCAAATTTCAGCCCGATTGGTTTGGGCTGTGCGTTGATAGATCACTATGTCAGTCAGTCGCCTTCAGTCAGCTAGTCTTTTATAAGACGTTATTTGCGTTCTTTATTTAATATAAAAAATTTAGAATATTATGTAAATCTTAAAATATTTATTGCTGATTAAAAATGTAAACTTTTGTGGATACAATAATAAATGAAAAAAAAAATGTTTATTTATAACTATGACCATCGTTATTTTTTTTTGGTTCGATTTTCCCATTCCTACAGGGGAGGGGAAGGCAAACGGTGCTTAGCCCATACAGCCTTGTCATTTGTAATTATGTTCTTAAATAATTAAATTTAACAGCCAAGTCTTTTTTATAGAAATTTATATTGTATGACAATCGTTATCGAGAGGATGAAGTCTCTAAAATGATCACAGATTGAAATACGATACGGACAAATGTATCACACTGCATACAGCCAAAGTTTATTGTAACTCATTCAAGGTTAACCTTGGATGATTTTGCAATATAATTGTATTTCATTATAAGGAAGTACGCGTTTTTATAACAATAAAAGTAGGAGATATAAAAGTATCAATATCTAACATATATTTTATTTATCAATAGTTTTCAAGCAATTCAAATTAACGGTAATTAACGATGATGTTCATTCAATTAACGGTAATTAACGATGATGTTCATTCAATATCTTTCAAAAATAGGACGTGGTCGCGATCACTATCACATGTTAAATAATATTTTTTATTTTCTGTATAAAAACTGAGATTTACAAACTTAAAGAGCGAATAAATCTAAAACTATATGAATTTCACTAATAATAGTTATAAATAAATAGTTGTAGTGTGAAGTTCGTGAATTATCTTCGAAATTTCATATTGAAAGGGATTGCGATATTTTTTAATTTGACAATAAGACTCCTAGGTAAATAGATATTCTGAGAAATACAATGTCTTTGAAAATATAAGCATATTACAAAATATAAACTGCGTCATAAATTCTTGGAAACATAATGAAGAATATTATTTTGTAATAAGGGGCAGCCTCATCATCATCTCAGGCCTTCCTTATGGTTAAGAAGGATGGGCCATGACCCTTTGACCCAATGCGGATTGGAGGGTATTAACGACTGCAAATGCAGAAGGGTTCAACGGCTTAACGTGCCTTCCGAAGCACGCAGTAACTCGAGATAATTTTTTTTTGGTCACCCATCCCGTGACAAACCCTTGAGGGCCAAGGCACTTGTCCACTACGCCACCGAGCTGTCCCATGCCAAATCCATAGTAATATTATAAAGGCAAATATAACTCTGGTGTAGTTCCGTTTTCACGCCTAAATTACTGAAATTTGGTACACAGCTAACGTGATCCTTGGGACGGGACATAGAATAGTTTTTTAAGTGAAAAAAGCTTAAAGGGGTTGAAATAATAGATGAAAATATTGAGGTTGTTCATAAGTAAATTTTAAAAATTAATAGGGATGATGACTGGGTAAAAAAATGCAATTCTATTTAGTCCGTCAGTCAGATAATAGAAAAATATTAGATACGTATTTTTTTTTTACTTCAATTTAACAAGAAGTAGTATAGATAACAGGCATTAAAGTTGAGGAGTGGGGGCTCGCTACGTCACAGTTGAGTAGAAAACGTACTCTAACGTGACGTCATGCGAAATTTCAACTCAATGTAACGACGTAATTTTATGATTACGAAAAAAATAAAAAAATACATGTTTAATAAATATTTTTTAACACTCTACCTGACGGACAAACAAACAAAAATTAGTCATCATCCCTATTGTTAGTAATTTTATAATTTAAATTGACTTGTAATAGTATATGTATTTTTGTCATCGAATATTTATATGTAATCTGAAAGTGTTCTGTTATTTATATCCACGTTTGCATGCCGTGGCAACCTATAATTAAGGCAAAATTTAGCATCTATTTTATATTGAGAAGTAATTAAAAGGCCAGCCATAAAAAAATTTGGTTAGCCACAAAAATCAGTATTTTAATCGTTTGATCAGCATTTAAAGATTTTGTAAGCAAGAAAAATAAAACAATCGGCAATCCTTGTTTCGCAAATAATCTTGATAATGATCAGTAATTTAATCATATACAGTCAGCTTAAAATAATATGTGTATGTCAAATAAACAGTCTATCCCCAAAATAACTACTTGATCAGAAAGATTCAGGATTGGTCAGCAAGAAATATTTGTCCGGTTAGCAGTTCATTTGATCGGTTTGCGTATTTAAAGCATGGTTAGAAGAATAACTAATTGGTTTGCATTTTTATTGAAAAGTCTGCAATGTACGTTAAAAGTGGGCAGAGCAAGAGTAGTCGCATGATACTAGTAGCCAATCGCGTGCGTGTATTGTCATTCGGTGTCTATGCGGCGATTAGTAGCTGTCAAATTACAGTGATAACAACTTGTTTTATGTTAATTAGTGTGAATTTTGATATTTTGCGAGTGTTATATGAGTACTGTAGGTAGCAGCCGGGACCGACGGCTTAACGTGCCCTCCGAAGCACGGAATCATCTTACTTTCGGACAATCAGGTGATTCAGGCCTGCAATGTCCTAACCAAACTGGGAAAAACTCACAAAGAAATATTTGAGAGTGTCCCCACCGGGAATCGAACCCAG